GGGAGTGGACGGCAAAAATCATAAGCAAAACATAATGTCAACAATACAGTTATTTAACCCTATATGTTTACATATATATAAGTATACCTACATATATCAACGTTGCTGTACATGGGTTTGGTGACAGTCAGTGACTACAAGGACATACACAAGTCAAAAAAAAAGTTTTATATAGTATAATTGTACAGCACAGCTATATAACCAATGTACAGCAAAAGATTATACGCTGCCAATGGTTAATGGTTAATGGTAAAAAAAAAGAAAAGAAAAAAGAAAAAAGAAAAAAAAAGAAAGAAAAAGAAAAAAAAAAAAAGAAATAAAAAACAAAGAAACATATATACACTATATATCAATGGTCATATAGCACTGTGCCTCTTGCCATTTTCCATTAATGGGTTTCCTTCATCACTTCCAAAAGGACTCGAACGAAAGTGAAGACGTCTGTGAAGGAATTATACAGAGGCGACGGTGCCACACGCAGCACTCGCGGCGCTCTCAGGTCGCACTGTGAAGGGAAATATATATATATATATATATATATATATATATATATATATATATATATATATATATATATATATATATATATATATATATATATATATATACATATATATATACATATAATATATATATATATATATATATATATATATATATATATATATATATAAATATATATATAAATATATATATAATATATATATAATATATATATAAATATATATATAAATATATAAATATAATATATATATAAATATATATATATATATATATATATATATATATATATATATATATATATATATATATTATATGTATGTATGTATGTATAAAACACATGATTTTCTTGGATTCATATAATCACTAATCTCGTTGCAACCTTTACTTTGTCTCAATTTCCAGTCGGCCTGATTTGGCTCGAAGCAACCGTTAACAAGGCAGGAAAGCGGAAAACGAACGAAGAACGAAACAAGAACGTTGCAGGCACTCACCACTACCCCGCGTTCCTGCAGCCGAGCGTGGACCTTCGCCGCGCCCGCAGGAAAGAGAATGGAGAGCTGGCAGCCACGTTGGGCGGGGTCCTCGGGCGTGATGATCCTCAGCGGCGCCTCCTCTCCGCTGCCGCCGAAATGCCTCTTGAGGAGCGCCTCCAGGAACCCCGTCAGAAGGAACTGCTTCTCCACCATGCGTTGCATCCTTGCCTCGTCCAGAATCTGGTGGGCGGAATCGGAAGCGGTCGATTGTTCGGCAGTGTGTTTATGTGGTAGTCAGAGGAGAGAGAGAGAGAGAGAGAGAGAGAGAGAGAGAGAGAGAGAGAGAGAGAGAGAGAGAGAGAGAGAGAGAGAGAGAGAGACAGAGAGAGAGACAGAGAGAGAGACAGAGAGAGAGACAGAGAGAGAGACGGAGAGAGAGAGAGAGAGACGGAGAGAGAGAGAGAGAGAGAGAGAGAGAGAGAGAGAGAGAGAGAGAGAGAGAGAGAGAGAGAGAGAGAGAGAGTGAGTATGTGTGCATGTATGTGTGAATATATATATATATATATATATATATATATATATATATATATATATATATATATACAAATGTCAAATCTATAAATTCTAACAAAAGAACTCTCTCAAACAGCCATACCTCTCCCACCTAAGAACACCAGTGACGCCCAACGGTCGGCTGGACAACATCCGTAGTACCTGGCAACTTCAAAGCACACGGATGCAAACTCATCATTTTGTCAGTAGCATTAGATGAGGTCTTAGCGGCTTCGAGTGACTTGTCTCGATGCCACTTGCCTTGGTGTTGTAACTCTTTATTGACTTACTATATCTTGTGCTTTATCTCTCTCTCTCTCTCTCTCTCTCTCTCTCTCTCTTATATATACTGTGTCCCCTTATTGATTCTATATCTTATATTTGTATATATGTAGAATAAATGTATACGTATACATATATATATTTCCATGATCATCAACAAAATTAACAGGGAAAACAAGAACAAGAAAAACAACAATGGTAATGATGAAAATAACAAGATAATAATAATAATAATAATATTGATAATAATAATAATAATAATAATAATAATAATAATAATAATAATGGTGATGAAAATAACAATAATCATGATAATAATAATAACAATAATAATAACAAAAAAATAATAACAACAATAATGATGATGATAATGATAACAGCAATGATAGTAATAATGATAATGATAATAATAATAATAATAATAATAATAATAATAATAATAATAATAGTAATAATAATAACAATAATGACAATAAAGAAAATAATGGTGATGATGATAATAATAATAGTAATGATAGTAATAATAATAATAACAATATAATAAATAATAATAATAACAATAAATTTGAATAATAATAATAACAATAATAATATAATTAAATACTAGTAATAACAATAATAATGATAACAATAATAATTTTGAATAACACTATCATAATCATTACTAGTAGTAGTGGTAGTATCATCATTATCAATATTATTGTCATTATTATTTCCATTATTATTAGCATTATCATTATGATCATTATTGTCATTATTAGTAGTAGCAGTAGTAGTAATATGACTATCACCATTATTGTCATTATTATTATACTAATAAAAATAATAATTATTATTGTTATTATTATTATCTTCATCATCATCATTATTATAGTCATCATCCTTATCTTTTTATCATTGTCATGATTAATACCATGATCACTGTTATTATCACTTTTGTTATTATCATCATTATCACTGATGTTTTCACCGTCGTCGTCGCCACAACTGACGCATCAGTAATACTCAATAAACTCTGAAATTAAACAGCAGATAAAAGCCGAGACGACGAGACAGAATCGTTTGCAAAGCCGAGACGACGAGACAGAATCAGCAGACGGAAATCCCAGACCTCCCACGAAGTAAAAGCTACCTGTAAGCTAACGCAGGCCATGGCAACGAGGATGGGCGAAGGCGTGGTGATCCTGAAGGCGCCCGCACCCTCAGCGGTGTCGCACTCGCCCCGCATCTCCACCCGCGTTGAATCTCGGTTGCTCCACCAGCCCTTCAGGTGCGCCGCCCGCCGCCCGTGGTGGCGCCCGTTCACGTAAGCGCCGCCGATCGCGCCGGGCCCGCTGCAGAGGTACTGTGGTCGCACGTGCGTGCACACCAAGATGTAGATTTAAGCTTGTACATATATGTAGATATATATACACACACGCGCACTCGTGGGTATATATATATATACCTATATATGTATAAACGCATATATATTTTGTGTGTGTATATATATATGTATATTTATATATATGTGTATATATATATATAAGGATATATGTGCACACACACATATATGTGTGTGTGTGTGATACATACCTTATTGGAACACCAGAAAGCGAAGTCGACGCCCCACTCGTCCAACCGCAGGTCGACGTTGCCCACGGCGTGCGCCAGGTCCCAGCCGACCAGAGCGCCCGCCGCTTGCGCCGCCCTCGTGATAGCCTGCATGTCAAACTTCTGGCCCGTGTAGTACTGCACTCCGCTCATGCATACCACAGCCACGGTGTCGCCCTGTTCCTCGATCACCTTAGGAAACCAAATAACGTGTTGAACATATATCATCATTAGATGAGCATTCGCGAATTTCAAAGAATTATTCGCTTGCCGATTTTATAGACTTCAGCAGATCTGTTACCTTAATGATGTCTTCTGTACGGAGCGTATATTCACCCTCTCTAGGAGAAACCTCAACCACCGCGTCATCTGGATCATAGCCTCGCATCTCAGCCTGACTTCTGAATGCGTACTGCAAAAGGTGTAGAGTTTATTTAATAATACAGATGTAATTTACGAGTGATCCAATCCAAATTCTAATGGTGAATAGTTCACTCAGTATAAAACAACAAACTGTTGACATGTTTATACATCATTCAGAACCTTCCCTTTGACTATACTGTATTATTGCAATTTCAGTCATGATTTAACCTACCTGATACCACAATACAGGCAAAATATATTCCTCTTTCTTTGCGCGAAATATAACATGAGGAAACAACAGGATATGTGATTCCAAATAAATGTAATTACCATGTCAGAACAGAAAGCTGCGGCCTCAGTCAGTATCTTGTAACGCTGAGGAGTTGGCTGATAAAACGAGATAAACAGAAGATGAAGGTTCACGGTGAGTCCATTCATCAAGGCGACAGATCGCGGATCGGCTCCCACCAGTCGACACATCATTTCGGTCCCGAAACTGTCGCAGACGTGGATGGGCAAAGGCTTTGCCCCATAGGCCGCAACGCCCCTAGACACAGAGTCATTCAGGCCCATGAGTTCTATTCCTTTGACTAAGCACTAAAATGTACCACGCATGTTTTTTTTTTCCCTATTCAATAAACAAACATGAACATCGAATGTATGACTCTTATTTCTTAAGAAGGCAGTAAGACTGTACATACAGGAGGCCCCACTTTTCCAGCTGAGTTTGTACAGCAGAGTCTGCCTCTTTTGGTTTGAGACCTAGATTCAGGGAGCTGAAATACAAGCACTCTTCTGCAGTCTCTTCGCCTTCTACCTTAACATCGGGCAAAGCGCCCTTCTTCGGATAATCAAATCTGTAAATCAGATCAATAGTATGTCATAGTGTACATACTGGACATATTTTCAACGTACTTATACCCACATTTATCAAGCATAGGTTATACCGTTATTTCATACAATGCAAGTTTATACATCAATATACATGCGTGTATATACATCTTGCTCATGAGTGTGTGTGTGTGTGTGTGTGTGTGTGTGTGTGTGTGTGTGTGTGTGTGTGTGTGTGTGTGTGTGTGTGTGTGTGTGTGTGTGTGTGTGTGTGTGTGCGTGTGAATGCATGCATCCGTGCGAACGTGGGAGCGTGATATGTAAAGATGTGCCGGTCAACGTTCGTGCGTGGTTATATGCGCGTATGTTTGCGTGTGTGGTCGCTGTGTGCATGAGTATGTG